GTGAGTGCGACGCCGGCTGTTGTTTCGTGCATTTTTGTTTTGTGTGTATGTGTTGGTGTCTGGGTTTGTGCTTGCGTTTGTATTTGTGTCTAGGTTTATGCCTCTGTTTGTGTGTATCTTTGTTTGTGTGTGACCTTACTTGCTGCACACACAAAAACACCTTTGGAATTTATGTTAGAGAATTATGTACTGATGTGACCTGCAGCGGAAAAAAAGTCAAGAAACGCCATCTTTGAAGGCCTTACGAAATTTTCTAGAACAGAACAGTCATACCAAAAAAACAAAACAAAACAAAAAAAAAAACATTAATAAGGAGAAATTAAAATCATGGTTGACTTCATGCAATAAGGTGATGTAACTAACACTTCCGTTACGAAAAAAATAAAACCTAAGCTGTGATAATAAAGAGAAATAAAAAAGATAAAACAAAACTACAGGTCGACTACATCCAGTGAAGTGCAGTAACAAAACTTTTGGTACAAAATTAATGAATAAATAAATAAAAAAAAATGAAAAAAAAAAATGAAGAAGCAGAAAACGATACAACAATTAAGAGCAGAAGCAGAAAATGAACTCAAAAGAAGCCCCCCTCCTCATGCAACAGCGTGCAGTTGCAACAGTGGAATCCTGTCCTGCTTAACGAAGGCAGGTTAAGGAGCAGGGGATAACGGGGCTGCAGCTTCAACACGTGTGAGTTATGACAAATTGTCTCGCGGAGGCCGACCTTCAGCGGGCAATGGGGCGTGACGGCGCTCAGAGGCACCCGCGTCCTTCCTATCACTGTATGGATGCATAGTTCACTTTTTTGTTGCACTGTATGGCTGTATGTCACTGGCTTGTTGCACTGCATGGCTGTTTATCGAACTCGCGTCAAGCAGTCACTGCTTTTTTTTGCATTGCACCAACTTTCTGCATAGTCACTGTATTATTGTATCCCTTTTTAAGTCTCTGTATCGTTGAACTGTATGGCTGTTCAGACACTGTCCTTATCTATCATATCAAGTGAGTATGATAAGTCATTGCTGTGTCACTCGTTTAAAGCAGAATCCCAGCGTTCAGCAACATACCAGGATTTTATGCAGCTAAAAGAAATTATCGTGAACGATGGAATTCCGGAGGGAGGCAAATCCTTGTATGTATGCCACAATAGCTGTTGGGAAACGGGATGGATCGCTTGTGAAGGATATACACATTGTACGTGCGCGCGTGTATGTGAGTGTGTGTATGTGTGTGTGTGTGTGTGTGTGTGTGTGTGTGTGTGTGTGTGTGTGTGTGTGTGTGTGTGTGTATGTGTGTGTGTGTGTGTGTGTGTGTAGATAGATAGATAGATTGATAGACTGACTGATATAATTTTAGATATACATACAAACATACATACATATAAACTAGTATTTAAAAATATAAATAGCTAGGTTACTGGGCAGATAGATAGATACAAATATATAGATATATCCACATTCAGAGAAATATCCATTTCTTTAAGAGCTGGAGGGGGAGGGGAAGAGAGGGGGGAAGGGAGAATAGCAAAACGAGCGAAGGGGTGGGGGGTGGGGGGAAGGGCGTAGGGGAGGGTCGCGTTAGCTTAGCCTAAGGGAGATGCCATTATCGGGGGACAATGCAGGGGTTTGTCCGGACCCCCCCTGCTCCCCCCTCCCCCTCCTCTTGGTCCAACATGGCCCTGACTGCTTCCGGGCCAAGGTTCTGTCTGCCCTAAGGCTGCTTAAAAAGATATATATATGTATGTGGTGAAGTAAACCATAGATCCGGTAGAGTGTGTGGGATGCTGGAGGGGGGAGGGGGGAGGTATGTGACGTAACAATATATGCTGTGGTAGGTCAAGAGTGTCATGACAAGGCTGTGATGAGATACGAGTGTCAATCAACACGTAGGAAAGGTAGTTAGAAATAGTTTAGGGTCAAAATGAATAAAATATATGTGTTTATATTTTTTATAACTATGCATAAGTAACAGGTGAGGCTGAAGTGAATTTTTTTTTCCATCTTTATTCCATCCTTCTCCTCACTCTAAGCTCGTGCTGCCTTCTTTGCTATCTAGATTTCACTTCATTTTTTTTTTTTTTTTTTTTTTTAACAATCGGATTCACTTTACTCTCTTTTCGTATGTATATAAACTTGGAAGTCTTCAGTGGTCAACAAACTCTCACTGCACCTCAAGATTGCGTTCACCAATACCCCGTCTCTCGGTCTCTCGCACATCCACTCACACTTGTTTTCACCCTAACGCTAGGGAGCATCACCCTAAGTCCTTTGGTCGATCGCTATCGCCCTCCCCCCCCCCTGTCCCCCATCATGGAATCACAAAGTTTGGGGATACAATTTGACGAAGCGTTTTATTGAAAATTTATCCTATACACTGAGTCCTTCCTCCTCTCCCCTCTGCCCTCGCTGCTTTCTCCCCCTACCCCTCGCTCCATTCTTCCCTTCCCCCTCTCTCTCCTCTCCCTTTCCCAGTCGCTACCCTCTCTTCTTCTCCCTCGGTT